AATTATACTAATTGTTAAATTAACAGTTAATTTGTTCTATTATCAATTAGTTAATAACAGTAATTTGTCTATTATACAATTGTTAAATAAACAGTAATTTGTTCTATTATCAATTGTTAAATTAACAGTAATTTGTTCTATTATCAATTGTTAAATTAACAGTAATTTGTTCTATTATCAATTGTTAAATAAACAGTAATTTGTTCTATTATTTGACAATGTGCTAGATTCAGCTATTTAGTCTTAAGCCACAAACATCTATGTGGCTGAAGTTGTCAAAAAGTATTAAATGTGTAGGTCGATAAACAATTTATCCTAACCACTACTCACAGTGTTTTATTGTGGAAGTATTGGATAAATTTCATGCTTAATAGTGCATTCTCGATAACCACTACTACACCATACTGTTGTGTGGAATTCTTGGGCCAATTTCACACTTTATAGTGTATTCTTAATAATAATTACTGCCTCATGTTGGTCCTGTGGAAGTGTTGCATCATTCTCAAACTTTGTGGGTTATTCTCAACAATTACTACGTTACCATGTTGTTTCTGAAGAAGTCTTGGGACTCTTTATGGTGTATTCACAACTAGTTCTGCATCATGTTTGCTTTTTTTTTGTTCTTTCTCAGAAGCACTATCTACCTATCTATCTTGGTAGTTATTTTAGGATTAGTAGAAAACCTAGGGTGTTCAGAAATTAATGTTATTTCTCTTTGCCCCCCTTCCCTGGCTTACGATAATTTTAGTGGATAAAATAGCAGTTTCTCTTTGCTGTTGATTTTCCCGTGGTTCAAGCATGAGGGAAAGCCGTGAAGAAGATCGAAAGAGTGGTTGCTTTCTTGATTATGAAATGAGTAAACCTTTTATGGAAAACATTCTAGAGGATATCTGTTCTCAGAAATGACCCTCATTTTCTATGTCTACATTAAAAGTTAATTGTATTGAATATTTTCTACAAAATTTTATTTTTCTTTACTTATCAATAAATTAGCATGTTTATATTTTCTCTTCATAACTTGTCGAACAAAATAAAACTTGTGATTCTTCAGAAAGCCCCCACCCCCCCAAAAAAGAAAACTGTTCATCGAGGTCAATCTCAATTTACTAATAAATATGTCATCCTATTTGGTATTTAATTCAACATATAGTTTAGGCCAAAGCAAAAAAATTTGATATTTTCAGGTAAAAACTAATTTCCTGACAAGTATCACATGGACAGGTCCACTAATAACAGCAGGTTTACTCAGGAAGTTATGACAGTAATTCAGAATCTGCTAACTTACACGAGTCTTAGTAGTACGTGTAAAATAATGAGACTGGAGAATGTTGGTAGAAATGAAAACAGCCTTGATTATTGAACAAACGAAAAGTAAACGTAGTGTATATACTTGTGTAGACAGAAAGACAGTCACTTCTACTAGTGAGTGTTTAACTCCACAGCTTTCTTTCTCTCAAAGTCTGTTGAACTAAATATGATTATTATTTTGGAGTAAGTCTATACTAAGCATTTCCTATTGGAATTCTGAATCAAGAACGTGTGCCTGAAGTATGAGGTGAGCTTCATTTCTTTGTCTAGCCAACAGCATCATTTCATAACCTTTTCACTCACAGCACTGGTTAGCTGTTACACGTAATTGCAAAAAATATTACAGTGCTAATCTTTTTAACCTGGATGTTATAAATTACTGCAATATCCTCTTGGGCAGAATAGATATTATCTGCTATATAACACAAGGAAATCTCAATGACTTTCTGGACCATGTAATTATGCTAAAACTGCGTAAAAACCAAATAAGCAAAAATATTTTTAAATTCCAATATCACTAAAGCTGGTAGGAAACATTTCATATGCCTGCATATTATGTCAGTAGTTTCCATAGTTCCATTAATTTGAAACATTAAAACTGTCTGATACAAGTTTAGTAACAGGCAAAAATTACTCAACCCACAAAGAATATTCCAAATAAACACCTAATCTTTGAAGAAACTTCAGAAGTCCATGGAAGTTAATGTAACATGAACCCTCTGTTTCTGATCTACAGTTCATGAAGTTTGAGAAACTGTTGTATAATTGCAGAAGAACACAATCACACTGTTAGTAAATCAATGTATATTCAGTAAATAAGTAGACAATTCCATCAGAACTGGTAAATAGTATCTTGAATTACTTCTCCCCAAAGTATAAGAAATTTTAAGAAAGTACACATTAGATCCATTTAGCAATGGATTAGTTAAAACTAAAAAACTCTTCCAAACAAATATTATCCTTCCATGAACACCTAGTGACTCAATAAACTTTATTAACCATTATCCATAAAAGTATAAATACTAAAAATTAATACATATTTATTTATCTTTATGAGCAGAAAAATACTGTCCACTAAACACCTACCAGATTGGGTACTGATACGAGGCACAATCCAGCAAGACCATGGCCATCGATATGCAACCACATGTCATGTGTTTTACACAATTCCTGAAGCCTCTGCAAGTTGTCTACATGTCCAACTACAGGGGTCCCAACATGGCCCACAATAAGTAGGGGTGTACGTTGAGCTGCAAGATCTTGCTGAATGAGTTTCTCCAAGGCCGCTATATCCTAGAAATAAATAGTGTGTGTGTGTGTGTGTATATCTTTGGAAACATTCTAGAATACTAAAATGTCATGACTATAATGCAATAAATCCTCTAAATTATGTAACAAGAGGATAATGGGGGCATCGTAAACAATGAATTACGGGATTAAATACTTATCTTAATTTCTTTAGCTTATCATTGATTTTTTGATAAATTTTCAGATTCTCACTTTTATGCTCCAATAAATCAAAAACTATTATTCCTGAAAAATACAGTAAAGTATATTTAAATTTCAAAAGTTAAGGTCATAAAGGTTTCATAACACATTACTTTCCCAAGAACCTGATCTATCAATTTGTCAGACTCCAGTCTTATAGAACATAAACTACAGAAAGAAAAACTAGAAAACTTGATACAAGCTTTCTAAAGATTATGTAGTTATAATGTAAAAAAAAACAAATTTCATTATATTCAGTATATTTAGCTCTTAAATTTTATGAAATTTTGTTATTAAACACTGCATTTATAAATATAAATGCTTTCTTTTGCCTTAGACTTCTGTTTGTTTCTTTTTTTTTATTAGCCTAAAATCTCAAAAAAGTGTCCAACAGTTTTGTCAGATCTTATTTCAATAACACAACACAAAATGTACAGAAATTTGTAATGGTCACTGGCCTATAACAATGTAAAAAACTGTAACAAAATATGAAATAAGCAAAATTGTGAATTATTTATCATTGATCAATTTAAAAAACCAATAAATTTTAACTTTTATTTTACTTGTAGTTGTGTCTGTGCACTGAAGCAATTATGTAACCCAATAACAGCAAATACTGCTTGGTCGATAATGGCGTATATTCGGGGATTACTGCATGCTTCTATAAGCCTGCATACTTTTGATTCTTAAGTGTCTTTACCTGAATTCTTGTTGTAGAGAAATATTTCTGTAGCTTTCAAAAGATATAACATAAATCCATTATCAGCAACAAGAAAAAGTCTCCAGAAACTATAATTCCTAGGTCTGTAATTACCTGGGAACTATTTATAAAAAAAGTACGTTTGCCTGTTAAATGTGACTTTATCAGAATACTTCTTCAGAACTTGTAGAAGTAGAAATAATGTATTATAAATAATTGGTTAGTACCTTACATTATTTTGATGCTGAGGGCATTCCCTTTTTCATCGTTTTTTGCTGGAAGATATTTACATCATCAAACCTGAGATACATACCCATTTGTAAAGACTTTCTGAAAGGGTTACAGGGATTTGAGTTCACCAAACAAAATTATAGTTCAGCTTAAGTTGCCTCTAGAAGCTTGAGAAATGTTTCATTTTCTTTAAAATTCTACATACTTTATTGGAATACATCAATGCAGGCCATTATGACAATAAATATAAAACAGAGAATTCAACCCCCCCCCCCCCCTTACAGGTGCTAGAAAAATTAAATTTTATACATTTTTCAACTTTCGGTTGCAAGAGTATCTACCAATTATAAAACGTTTTTTTATCATTTCTTGCACTATTTACCAGCTCAAAGTTAATGAAATAGGTTAGAATTATATCTTTTTAAATGCATTTTCAATACTGAGTTGTAAATGTGTACCCAGAGTTAAGCAAAGTTTCTGTGGACCTCAACAAAATTTTCAGAAAATATATTATCTAATACAAGATTCAAGTTAAAGAAATTATGAAATAAAAATGTTTAAAATTGCCGTAAGGCAAAGTAAAATAGTCGGCAAGCTACCACTGCTTTTTAAAAATGCACCTACCATTTTGAACTGGGATCCAAACACTGTGTTGCATGGTACAGTCACGAGACAGGTGAGTGGCAGTCCTAACTGTTGAACAAGAAAAACATTAATGCTCAATAGCCTACATGGTTTACTCATACAATCTATGACACTATAAAATCTGGATCATGAAACCTACATTAATCTGTGTGAGTTAATAGCAACACTAAATAAGTACCAATTTCACTCTCGAGGTGTTTCAGTGTATGTATTGAACTATGAAGGTAAAATGTTTGGTCCAATGTTAATGTAAGTTACCAAAAATTTAGAAAAAAATTCAATTTCTACAGACAAACTGTTAGTTACTTTATCATTATTTAAATGTTAAAAATTCTTGAAAAAATACATAAATTTACCAATTATTTTTTAATGAAAACCATAAATAAGGCTATACAAAAAAAAACAAACTAAATCCATTAAACCAAACTTATAAGGCAACAAAATTAACAAAATATAAAAAAAACAAATGGAAAAGGAACAAAAACTAACCCCACAAAATAACTAACAGTGTAAGGAAAAACTATTATCAATATATCAAAATACAAACACAAGAGAAACAAAAACAATTCCACTAAACCACCAATATTTTAAGGCAGTATAATTAATGATATATTAACATGTCCCTCAGGAGCCAAAGGGTGTCTTTACACTACAATTTGTTGAATATTAAAATTAAGTTCAACCCAAAAACTCCCAAAAAGGGTGGTTTTGGACGTGTCTTTTCAAGACAAGTTTTCATTGGTGAATTGATAAATTTCTCAGTTAAATACAGCATCCTCAAGTCTCCATACTAGCTAGTACTAAGGTACTTGCAGGGAGTAAATTCAGTATATATCAATAAAGCCACATTCTCAGCAAATTAATTAAGCAACTGCCAACCTTTTATGCTTCTGTTATCACCTAATATTTAGCTTTCAACTGAGACACGAACTATTTCATCTGCGAATCGATAGGAAAGGTCAAAGCATCACGATGGTCAGCAGTAGGATGAGCAGACAGAAACACTTTGAAAGCAGTTACAGGCATAATATTGTACTCATCTTGCTGCACAATATCTACCAATGTAGCTCTAAACAATTCCTGAATACCTCTGTATGTTATTTGGAGACTTCATGCTTCTTATGCTTGGCTGTTCAGCTTGTGATGCATTGATGAATTTCAGTCACCTTACCATTTCAAATCACTTTTCACAGCCCCAATGCTAAAAACAAGTTCAGTTAAAATTAAAACAAACTGGACTGGGTAGGGTTTTTTCAATAGAAATGTCCCCTACTGGCTCATGAGGGGGCCTATAAAATATAAACAAAAAGAAAAACTAATCCACTAAACCAGTAACATCATAAATCAACACAACTAACAATATATTAAAATACAAACACAAAAGAAACAAAACTAATCCACTAAACCAGTAACATTATAAATCAACACAACTAACAATACATTAAAATACAAACACAAAAGAAACAAAACTAATCCACAAAACCAGTAACATTATAAAGTAACACGATTAACAATATATTAAAATACCAACACAAAAGAAACAAAAACTAATCCATTAAACCAGCAACATTATAAAGTAGCATATTAACAATATATTAAAATACAAACACAAAAGAAACAAAACTAATCCACTAAATCAGCAACATTATAAAGCAACATATTAAAATACAAACACAAAATAAACAAAACTAATCCACTAAACCAGCAACATTATAAAGTAACACAATTAACAATATATTAAAATACAAACACAAAAACCACTAAACCCAGTAACATTATAAAGTAACACAACTAACAATACATTAAAATACCAACACAAAAGAAACAAAAACTAATCCATTAAACCAGCAACATTATAAAGTAGCATATTAACAATATATTAAAATACAAACACAAAAGAAACAAAAACTAATCCATTAAACCAGCAACATTATAAAGTAGCATATTAACAATATATTAAAATACAAACACAAAAGAAACAAAAACTAATCCATTAAACCAGCAACATTATAAAGTAGCATATTAACAATATATTAAAATACCAACAT